CCCACGCTACAGGCTTGGGGAAGAGTGGCTGGAAAGCTGCCTGTCGGAAAAGGACCTGGGGGTGCTGGTTGACAGCCGGCTGAACATGAGCCGGCAGTGTGCCCAGGCGGCCAAGAAGGCCAATGGCATCCTGGCCTGTATCAGAACTAGTGTGGCCAGCAGGAGTAGGGAAGTGATCGTGCCCCTGTACTCGGCACTGGTGAGGCCGCACCTCGAATACTGTGTTAACACTGAGGTGGACACTGAGGACACTGAGGTGCTGGAGCGTGTCCAGAGAAGGGCAACGAGGCTGGTGAAGGGTCTGGACAACAGGTCTTATGAGGAGCAGCTGAGGGAACTGGGGTTGTTTAGCCTGCAGAAAAGGAGGCTGAGGGGAGACCTCATCGCTCTCTACAACTACCTGAAAGGAGGTTGTAGCGAGGTGGGTGTCGGTCTCTTCTCCCAAGTAACTAGTGATAGGACGAGAGGAAATGGCCTCAAGTTGCGGCAGGGGAGGTTTAGATTGGACGTGAGGAAAAATTTCTTTCCTGAAAGAGTGGTTAAACATTGGAACAGGCTGCCCAGGGAAGTGGTTGAGTCCCCATCCCTGGAAGTATTTAGAAGACATGTAGATGAGGTGCTTAGGGACATGGTTTAGTGGGCATGGTGGTGTTGGGTTGACGGTTGGACTCGATGATCTTAGAGGTCTCTTCCAACCTTAATGATTCTATGATTCTATGATTAAAAAAAGAGGGTCCCTTTTTTCTTGTTGTTCATTGCTAAAGATCAGGCACAAGTAGTTAAGATGACTCTTAGATGAGTATTTCTCTCTAATGGTATACAACTAACTTTTTTCCTGTCCATCTTGACATTAGAGATGCTCAAAGATGAATGCATGGAGTAGGGTGTTCAGAAACATTCCAAGAAACCTAACATTGAGCAGAGGAATTTCACACAAGGGGGGAAATTTCCCGTGATTTAACTTCTCTCCTCTCCTTTTCTTCTTGTGAATGTTTTGAGACAACTTTTACCTTGCATTTTGAAATGTACGTACGGTTTAGTTGGACCAAAGTGTGGCTTTGAAGCCTGAGAAAATCCTTTAAAAGGCAGCTGGTGTTTTAAGTTGAATTTTTAATGATGAGGTATTTTGTAGAAGGAGTGCTGCTATGCAACTTCGGAAAGAGAAAGGGGAGGAGGGAAGGGAGGGGAGGAGGGCCAGTAGAAGACACCCATGCATAAGTTATGTTCGTTCTTTTTCTTTATTAATGCTGTCAAATTCCCAGGAATGGTTGTTAGTATTTCCAGCCAAGCAAAATTAATATGAAGATTTTTTTTTTTAACTTTCTGCCAATTTGAAGCTCCCAGTATATATGTTGGCAAATTGACTTTGTATCCTATAGGAAAAGAAGTCAATGCATTCTTAGGAAGGAAGGCATTTTTGTCTTGCAAAGCTTTTGCTTTCTTGACCAGGGTGGAGGTGGCCATGGAGGTGGCAGGCGTTGTGAAAGTGTCTGGTGTTGAAGTGATGGGAGAACGGTCTCACCAAAAACATCTAGAGATGTTCAGCAGTGAGAAGGCACTGTTCTTAAAAGCAGTAATTAAACAAATTAAAAAATTAAGATTTATATCCAAACAGTCCTGCCAGGGAAGACCTGGTGGAAGTGAGGAATATGTATGTGATGGCAGGGGGAACATATCCGTGCGTTGGGATGGCTAAGCCTTGCTACGGTACGCAGCACGTTCCTGCAGCCCTCCCAGCTACACAGGTAGTCAAAGCAGCTGCTGTAATTCATGTCTTCTTAAAGAAATTGATGGACCTTTACTCTGTTCCTTATATTAAATATGGAGCTGATGGCCTGATGGTTACCTTGAGGCTTCAGGCAAAGCCCTGAGCAGCCCATGCACCAGCCTCGGTAGCACTGCACCTCACCAACACTGGCGTGCTGCTTCCCACCTGGTTTGGGGGAGAACGATGGTAGATTGGTGCCTTTCTGGAGCAGGAGAAAATTACGGTGCCTAACTGCCAGCGTCAGGCTGGGGCGGTTGGAGGCAGAGCCGGGAGCCTAGCTGCTGGGGGGCTGCTTGCTTGCAGAGCAGCGAGGAGACAAAGTCTTTTGGTTTTATGATGATATTACAGTCCAAATCATTTCCAGACTCCCGAGAATGTGAAACAAGATGATGTGAAAAACATAAGGTTACTGTAGTTTTGAGTGCTTTCTATGCTCTTCTGGATAAATGGAGCAGAAAAGTCTACCAACTTCTCTTTGAGATTTCAAAGGCATTATTATATTCTGTAGTTATTATATTGTCATAGCTCTAACAATCCACAGTAAAACTGAGCCATATTCTGCTGAGTGTTGTACATGTGCAGAATAATGGATTATCCATGGTGTCGAGAGCTTGGTTTGAGGTCCATGTCGTAAGTATTCATGCAAAAAAGTTTATGCACAGATTCTCATACCTTTTTTTAGCAAAGAGATTATTAAATAGCAAAATAAATAAAGTAGACATCAGTTTTATGAAGCAAATTGATACTACTTCCTACACACACACACAAAAAATCAAAAACATTAATTTGGTAAATAAATGGAAAGAGAGAAATAAAATTGCACTTAATTTCTAGCAAAGTGGATCCAAAGCTGATTCTTCATTTTTGTTTTGCCTCTGCTCCAAGCCATCAACTCATATTCTTGTGCAACTGGAGTATTTTAATTGTCCGCCTCTGTGTCCCTCTTCTTCTCTGCCACTTTCTAATCAGTAATTAGGTGGCCTTCAGTGGTTAACAATTAATCAGAAAATGAATTGGGGCTGGGGAAGATAGCAGGGCCGTTTGATCATGCATCAGGCAAGTGAGGGCTTCGCTTCTGAGAGTAACCCTGAGCCAGCTCGCGCCTGCACATCATTTATCCTGTCCAGAGGCAGAGCCGGGGCTGGTGTCTGATTACACCGACGTCCCATCGTGTTCAGCTCCACGAGCTGTTGTGGATCAAGCGTGTGAAGGCGTTTGGTCTTTTTGCAAAGGTGCCTTGTGGCAAAAGCAGACCTGGTGTCTTTTATGCTGTTACAGGTATGTTGCACTGTCGTGGTTTAAGCCCAGCCGGCAACTAAGCACCACGCAGCCGCTCGCTCACTCCCCCCACAATGGGATGGGGGAGAGAATCAAAAGAGTAAAAGTAAGAAAACTCGTGGGTTGAGATAAAGACAGTTTAATAGGTAAAGCAAAAGCCACGCACACGAGCAAAGCAAAACCAGGAATTCATTCACTACTTCCCATCGGCAGGCAGGTGTTCAGCCATCTCCAGGAAAGCAGGGCTCCATCACGCATAACGGTTACTTGGGAAGACAAACACCATCACTCCGAACGTCCCCCCTTCCTTCTTCTTCCCCCAGCTTTATATGCTGAGCATGACGTCATATGGCGTGGAATATCCCTTTGGTCAGTTGGGGTCAGCTGTCCCAGCTGTGTCCCCTCCCAACTTCTTGTGCACCCCCAGCCCGCTCGCTGGTGGGGTGGTGTGAGAGGCAGAAAAGGCCTTGACTGTGTGTAAGCACTGCTCAGCAGTAACGAAAACATCCCTGTGTTATCAACACTGTTTTCAGCACAAATCCAAAACGTAGTCCCATGCTAGCTACTATGAAGAAAAATAACTCTATCCCAGCCAAAACCAGCACACACACGTTTCATTTTCTTCAGCTTTCTGCTAGGAGGGAACTAACAAAATATTTTCGCTCACTTGCAGCATGCTCGAGCGTACTGGGGAATTTGGGTTGGTTTGCTCTTTACCCATACTTGGGTGGCAGAATCACTCTGGTTTTCTCTTTTTTCCATTGTCTCAGGCTCTCATGTATTTTGATATTTCTACAATTTTCTCTCCTTTCACCTGCTTTGTGACACATTCAGCCCCTTACCAGAAGACTATGCTGTTGAGTTTTAGCAGCACACTGTTGAGGAACTTCTTGTTCTGGGGTCTGGCTTTATTTCCAGTTGGGGGAAAAAAAGCTGCAATAATCAGAAAACCTTAGGATGGCTCATCAGTGGTGCTTAAGATTCTGGATATGAGAAGATTGCTGGCAGGGCTTGCTGTTTTGGCAGTCACCCTTGATGTTGTCTCCTTATCGATCTTCCCATCATTTCTCTCGGGTGCATTGCTAATGGGCTCTGTTTGTTTATCGGTACCCTGAAATCGGTCTCTGCAGTTTTGAGAGACACCCACCACACCATGATCTCGTAAAGCACCAGGAGAGCACCACCACCCCTTCACCAGTGCTGCTTTGCCTAACTGAAAGCATACGGGTTGGGAAACATGGCTGGTTATTTGCAAATCCAGTGTTCACATTTTCATTGCGCTCATACACACATTGCTCTTCCAGAGGAAAAGAAAAAAGTAGAAAGGGAAGAAGTGCATTTTTGTTTGCAGGTGCTTTCTGTTTGCTTGCTTTGCTTTTCAGTATCCTGCAAGCACGAGCTGCCATTGAAAATCGAATGAATTCTCAATTGCTTCCTTCCAATTCAATAAGTGGAGGAAAGCAGAAACCTGCCACCGTCGCTGGAAGGAAACGGGGCAGAGGAAGGCATGGGTTCGGCAGAAAGCTGTTTCCTTTCCTCCTTTCCCCGGGGAAGGTCCCTGGGGAGACAGGACTGCACCCTTGGGGGATGTGGAGGAGGAGCACCTCCATCCACCCTGGAGGCAAAAGGATGCATCGTCTACCATGGACTTGGGTGGTTTTCTTGCTCCCTGACATTTCCCACTTATGCTTGGCATTTTCCTCTCACCAATCTTTTATGAATGTTTTTACAGGTGTAAGCCACCTTGTGTCATCATTGCATTTCTAGAGGTGACGAGGATGCATTTTTGTTATTGCTGTTACGAATCTTTTCACCTTTATCAGAGCAGAAAAAAGATGGACTCTGACTCCAGATTGAATGCTTTTGAGATGATACATTTTTCTGCTAATGTAGGGAGTACGAATATTCATTTTTATAATTTTTATCATTATAATTTTACAATTCTCTCTCACAGCAGGACAGAGTCCTCGGCCACTTGCGAGGTGTGCGAAGGCGCGGAGGAGATGACGGAGCCGCTGAAGCAGTGCACGGCCTGGCTGCACGCCTACTTCTGTGAGCCAGCGAGGACGGCGAGCCTTCCCGTGCCGGCCTTCCACCACCCACTGCTCCAGCGAGGTCTGTGCTGCGGTGCCACAGGGTGCCCGTCCCCTCCCTGCTCCCTGTGGCTGGAGTGGTGCTGGCTCCCATCTCCCTGATTCTTGGTCAATGGCAATAAAAATGACGCAGTTCAGTTCCCGATGGTTGCTGGCTGAAAGGTTTGATTATGAACACAACTGCAGGGCAGTACGCTTTTCAGTAATGTCGTTTACTTAAACTAGCTTTTTGCCAGCAACAGGGGGGTTGAGGCTTAGACATGTCCATGTCAACAGACCTGTGCCATAGAAGCAGTCAGTGATAGGTTGCGTAAGGTAGCTATGTTTTTATTCCTCAAAGTTGTTATAGATAATATTTTTATTTTCTTAAACAAAGAACAAGTATTGTGTACAAAGTAGTTATGGTACTCATGTATTTAGATAAAAACAAGACCTGAGAAAATTTTCTCCTTACCATTTTCTATTTACTGTCTGTGTTCCTGAAGACCTCGTAACGGAAGTCAATCACTTGAAATGAAATAGATCTCATTACTTAAAAAAAAAAAATCTCAGAAGTCTGCTTCTTGCAGTGCCTTCTGGTCTGTCCATGAATGTCATCATTTCCCAGAGAATAAAATCTTCAGTTTAATAGATGTAATTTTTAATTGTATGATATTCCATAATAATATAGCACCAAAAAGGGGCTAGTGTTCTCTGTCTTACATGAGGTAAGATAGCACTGTTTTTTGTATAAACTCTAAAATATATGTACTTTTTCTTTTTTTTGTGGTTGACAGATGAAAGACACCTTTTAAATATGGGTGCATACATTTTTATTTCAAGGTATAAGGACTATATGTCAGTACCTGTGTAAAAAAATGGCCAGTTTTACCTGTGGATAGGAAGGGCTGTTTTGACAGGCACGCCTTTGCAAGTAGTATCTACAAGAACTCAGCTGTCTCTACTGCTAATTGCTGGTTTTATTCAAATTCCTATAAATACCAGGTTTCTTCTTGCTGTTACACTTTCTTATTCTTAATTAGCTAATGGCAGCTGCAAGTAGAACAACAAAATCAAAATGCAGTTGTTGTTGTGCAGAGCCTTCTGCAGATAATCAGGCTGTTGCTTTCAGAAGGTGGGAGTCTTAAATTTTGTGAGGTTTGCACGGTACCTTTTTTTTTAATGATGAACTTCTGTACTTATTCTTCCATGTTATGAAAATTCTCAGTGCGACATCTTTCATAGTCAAATTACAGGGTGGGTACTGAGTATTTTTTAAACCAAGTTGTGTATTGCACTGTCTCCCTCTAATTTTTATACAAACATCATTTTTATCAACTACTAAAAAATTTCATTTAGAAGTTCTACTGAAACCATCCGATCAACATGTGGGAGAATAAGCACTAATGACACTATGATGTCAAAATTGCCAAAATGGTCATGAAGTGTGGCCTTCTAGGTGATTAAAATATCATTTGAGGACTCTTTTATTAGCTGGGATGAAATTACGACCTGCGTTATGAAAACGTTAGGTTTGGGGTGAACATGAATGGGCAAAGCTGGATAGGAAATACTGCTGCTGTTCCTTCCATCTCTGAATAACATCAGGGGAATTCTGCTTCCCAGATTATCCACCAGAAGGTTATAAAACATTTAAAGTAATGCTTTTACTTTTATTAATTTTCCTAAATTGGCTACTGAATTCTTTTTAGCTTGGGTAATTAAAGTTTTTTGTCTAAGCACTGCTGATGTTAGTTTAGCTGTTGTTTTGGGGTTTAGCCCTGAGCAGTTTTGCCTTGACTTACGGTCAGAGTTGGTAGGAGACTTTGGTCCTTCCTTAAGCAGCAGCCTTCCTGTGCAGGCAATACTGGAAGAGACTGAAGATCATTTAAAAGAGGAAAAATAAGTATATTTGTTAATAGGAAGCTCCTCGAGGGAAAGCAATCACCACCCTCTAATTTTTTTTGGGGGTGGAAGGAAAGCTCTTCAGCACCGTCCAAGTGCAAAACCCAGCTGAGAGGTGCCTGCGGGGATGGGACAGGACGTGGCCGGTGGCCGTGACCATCGCTGCCGGGTCTCTCTGCAGCACCCGTGGCTTTGTGAAGGATGCGGCTGGTGGTCCCGCTGGCCGGGCTGGCCACGTGCTGGGCAGCAGCGTCCTGGTGGGGTTTGACCTTCTGTATCGCAGGTTCGGTGCTGGGCGGGACTGGAGTGCAGTTTTCTCGTTATAACATGTGCAGGTCCAGGTTTTTTTAATTTAGTTCAGTTATTTGTTCTTGGACTGACTCCAGGTGTGTGTGTTTTATGGGGGGAGGCACATATGTAATGGAAATGCTAACGAAGAATTAATTGGCACAAATCACAATGATGTGATAGCATTTCTATTCTCTTACTTTCTCCTAGTAATACTTTCATAAAATAGAAAAAATTTATATTGGAAGGAATGTGGAAATACATGTCAGAAATCAGAAGAAACTATTTTTAAAAGTTATTTAGTAGAAAGGTAAGGTAAAAACTGCATTATAATGGATTACATTGTACATTTCAATTTATCTGTAAGTCAGAAATGCAGTAATACTAAATTAGGAGTTTGGTATTTATTTACTTTTTCACATTTACATTTGAAAGTGCCTACTCATTTCTCCAGGCACTTAAAAATGCAGAATAAACATAAGCGAGAGCATGAGGATCCAAAGCCGGGAAGGCTTTTTCTCATCACACTGATTTCCTTACATGTCTCTGTTCATCAGCAGCTCTTCCAACAACTCGTCAAAACCTTTGGCCCCTCTTTTTTTCCCTTTCCTATAAATATAACCACTTATAGTGTGGTTCCTTGATATTAGGTAACTTGAGTTTCATCATCAAGTGCTTTTGCGATAAGGACTGATTATTGGATATTTTCTTTCTTAACCAGTGCTTATATCAAGTTTTATTTTTTTTCTGTGCTAGCATCATCTGAGGACAGGAAGGGTTTTGCTTATGTCAAACACGTTAAAGAGGTTCCACATTCAACAAAAAAGTGTAAAGTGCTTTTGGGATGAAGCACTTCTCAATTCATGGTCAATTTTCTGCAGCTACTTTTGTGCCAACTATTAAGACATAGTTCCTTGTGGAGAGAAAAATAGTGACAATCAACTTTGAGATAACAAAAGCAGAGAGATTTGCAAATTCAGAAAATAAAGGTATCTTGCAGGTTACAGAAAGCCATCTTTCCACCGCAGCAGCACCAGGCTCTGCGTTATCCCAGCGCCCGAGGCAGCGAGCACCTGTAGCTGCTCTCAGTGTTGGGGCTGGTAGTAAATGCGCAGCCCAGCCACCTCCCAGCCTCGAACGCTGCATGGACGGCTGAAGGAGCACAGTTGGTGACCACCTGAAAAACATTTAGCTGTATGCTTTACTTTTCCAGGCTCTTAGGGAAGCAACACACCAGTCCCCCTTCGAACACTGAGCACCTTCCAGCGACCCCTGCACTGACAGTGAAAATATAATAATAACTGTTTTATTATGCTATTGTAATTTGGTTGCCAAGTGCGCATGTATTACCATGGCAAAGGCAAGGTGAATTCTGACATGTACTGTTTCAGCAGCTCATCTTGTGTTTTAGGTTTTTCTAAAGTGCCTTTAATTTTCTAAATTGCTATTAAAAGGGGGGAAAGTATTTAAAAGCACTCTAAATACATAATTAACCATTCCTTGTCGTAACTAGTTGGTCGTAAAGTTTGAATCTGAAGCACTGATGCTGTCCCACAGCTTGAGGCAGGCAGGAGAAGTTCGAAGCTGGTTTCTCAATACCTCTAGGAGTTGTCGACTTACTGGCTGTCCAGTTTAGCCTATGCAGCCAAAACTTTGTTGAAAATGTAACTGAAAAACTGGAATTTTCAACAATTTGTGTTATGGCCAGTGCTCAATGTGGAATTTCATTGAGCAGAGAAAAAGTAGGTTTTTCCCACTTCTCTGCAGCATTACTTCAAGGTGTTACACCTCAGAAAAATCACTGAACATTTATAATGGAAAGTGATTAATTGGTCTTAATGTATCATGGTCATTAGCCCCCTTTATATATGAAGAAGAAAAATTGACCCTGTTATTGTTTTGAAGCCTATGCGTGAGTTGGTTGATTTGTGGGTCTGTGAAATGGAAAAGGCAATGTTAAATTGGCCAGTCATGAATTTCCTGACTTTTCTTTATTTGTGATTATAACCGTAGTGGTTGAGGTTGCAGAAAGCATTGCAGTGCTGGATGCTGCAGCGAGGAACGGTTGTATGTTGCAGACCAGATGGCTCATTAGAGCAACAAGAGCAGAGGAAATTGGAGACACACAAGAGTTTTCCTTTGCCCTGTGACAAGCAGCAGCCCTGGGGCTCTGCTTTTTGCGTGCCATGCCGTGCCATGCCGCCGTCCTCACCGGATGAAGTCCTTTAGCTTTGCAAAACCACGCTTTTATATTCTTGAGTCTGGAGTTCCTCAGTCGGATCCCTGTACCGGAGGTGTAGACCTGAAGCAAAGCTGTGCCTTTAGCTCAGTCCAGCTCAATCACCCTATTTCTTCAAATAAACTGTGAATTACTGTGTCAGCGCGAGGGAGGAGGGCTCTGCAGGTCTGCAACTGGTGTTGTCTATGTCACCTTGCAAACCAAAGGCAGAGAAAAGCTGTGCAAAAAGAGAGAGGAGGAACAACCTGAGGATGGAGACCGGAGAGGTGAGCTTTGCAAGCCAGATTAGTAACTGAAATTTCCCGTGCATTATGTATGTTATTCATCCAAGAAGGGATATTGATGAAACACCTCATACATAATGGGAGCAGAGAGTCTTCAAAGAAACTGGTAGTACCTCCATTCTCCCTTCAAGATGACTTTGCTCCGTACCCAGGCCTGTAATCAATAATTACCCTGTGATTTCCTGGGAGCCTTCTCGTTCAGAAACTCAAACCAAAGCAGTGTAGGCTAGTGAACCTGGCGTAGTCCCCGCCAAAGGATGGCAAAGCACACTGTAAAATACCAGTTACAGGCTGAAGAAACTATTCACTTTCTCGCATCACCTCTGT